GGCCAGGTGCGGAAAACAAGCGCATGTTGCAGCCCCAGCGCTGCCATCGGTTCTGCCCCATTACCCAGCCCCGAGGGCAGTGCCAGCAGCACCCGCTCCCGCCAGAGCCAGGGCATGGCGGGGCCCCCCCCCCCCCCCCCCCCCCCCCCCCTTTCCCCCCCCCCCCCCCCTTTCTTCTTTCCTGTGTTGCTACAAATGACAATTCAACCTTTTTTGTCCTCACACAACAAAGCGTGCATGTGCTGGCTCTTATGGGGGTCAGGCACAGAGAGCCTCTGAATTCCAATAAGGGAAAACCAAGAACAATACTGAGCATCAGTTTGGTTATCTGCCCCCAAAAAATTATTTAGAAGAGTAACATCTACTCACCAACAACATTTTTACTGGCAGCAGGTAGATCAAAATCATTCTTTTGTTCTTCTGGCTTGAGCGGTGACAGTGTTCAAAGGCAAATGACAGATACTCTTCAGCTGCAGAAACAAATAAAAGTGCTAGTAACATCAGTCAACAACAAGAATGAATTAAAACGGTAACCCAAATTCTGTGCTTAATGTCCGTCTCTAGCTTGAATACATGATATTTGAAATTATATAAAAAAGAACCAGACCAATAAAAATACATTAAGAAAAATGCTGTAAGAATTATTGGAGATTCACCCAAAATACAAAGTATTACCAGAAAAATAATTCCTTCTTCAGAAAGTCAAAGAAAACTTGTCAAGGTCTAGATGTCAGAGGTAACAGTTACAAGCAATATTGGAATTTTCAGCTCACTTCAGTCATATTATTGTGCTACTATTACAGGAGGGGGGAATCTCAAGAAGCACTGATGAAACAGAACTCCGTTTCCTAAATTCACAGATTAGGTTCTTCAGAGGACGTAAGCTGCATGCGATGCACACATCTGCTGAGCTGCAGAAACGTGCCAGTGAGATCACACAGCATGACAACATGAAAATCTCTCATCAGTTTTCACCGAGAGAAAAAAAATGACAAGCCTGACAGGCAGAAGACACTGTTTAGAGTGACAAAACTGGCTCCAGAATAGATTTTGGCCACAGGCTTGGGTTAGCAATGAAAGTTGTACACCTTAGCTCCAGAAGCATTTCTATCAGTGAATAAGAAATCTCAGAAATGCGGTTTCTACATCTTCCAAAATCAACGCACTGATTAACTAGTTCTACAGTACAGTTTACTGAAGATTTCCTACGTGGCACGCAGCAACTTGAAGAGGACAAGACAGTCACAAAGCCTCCTTTGTGGAACCTTTTACAAATGAATTCTTTTGGATGCTCATACATTACATTTTATTACACATGCACACAATGCATAAGACTACAGAGAACTTCACTGACACAAATATTTTAAAACTGGGCATATACTACAATTAGAAGTGTCACGTAATCTGCTCTCTGATCTGGCTCAGTCTCTGGGACTTGGATCTTTAAGCATGACTTCCTTTGATCAATGCAAACACAACTGCACCTTTTACACACATTTTGAGTCACACACATGTGACATCAGCCAGATTTCACACCAAGCGGCAAGACTTTAAATCTGTCTTACTGGCACAGAGTACCTTGCTTGAAGTCACTGTCAAACATGGCTTTGCGTCCAACATAATATCTGTATGTAACTCGCTGTGCCATACTATATTCATCCTTCAGATTTGAGCTGTCAATTGCTCTAATTAAGGGCTTACATAGATGGAGCTTGTTGATCTGTTAAAAAAAAAATTAATTGCATTTTACTCAGAGAATGCAGATACATAGTAACATACAAAAAAGGGTGGGTTTGACTTAAAATACAAAATACAAGACACAGCTTACCAGACTCGAACCGTACCTTAAAATAAATTTTAAACAGTTGATTCACGAGAAACAACATGCCCCACTTTTTGGAATCTTCAATGCCTGCTCGACTGTCATAGGAAAAGAAAAAAGAAAAAAACCTACTAGTACTGAACATTGTAAGAAACCAATGACTTTGTCCTTATGGTAAATTCCTTCCATAGATATTTTATGGATTTTTAGGGTAAAAATAGGTATCTGAAAATAAAAGTCAAGGCCAAACTCCTTCTCTTAAACCATACCAGAGCTGTCAAAACAGAATATGTGTTCCCATCGTAAATTTTAAACAGCTCCGATACATTTCTTCTCAACATAATGAGGAGATGTCATGCAAAATATTATTAATCTGCATCAGGGTCCTCACTCCAGTCTGCAGGCAACACATACACTAGCATAGCAGTTGCTTATAATATTCAAGGTGAAAGATGGAAAAAAAAAAAAAAAAAAAAAAAAAAAAAAAAAGCAAGCATTTTCTCCACTTTGGAAGCGTTAAAATTGCTAAGACTGGAAACCAGTCAGTCACCTCTCTTCCATCTAACCATAATGAAGCAAACTTCACAACTGAACAGGGCACAAAGTGTTAATGATCTTTCCTGAGAAACAGGGACATAATCAGTCCCTCCCAACAACATCTGCTAGGAATGTTAAACCTGAAGGGAAGCCTCTCCAGCTGTAGTTAACAGTCAACAGAGAACAGATTGTAAATGAGAGGAAACGAGCCTCAAAAGCGTTCATTCTTACCCAGATATGCTCTTAGTAAGTAGAAAAATCTTATGTAAAGTTCTTAAAAATTTAATAATGCAAGTTCTATAGAGGATCTTTCACTTACGTGTCACTGGCACAGACTCGAAAACAGCTCATCAGCAGTTCTGCTGCTTTTTCCAACATGTCACCAACTTTGCTTTTTCCCTTCTTCACTAGTTGTTGATCTGCCTATCATTACACAGCAAGAAACAATGCGTAATTCTACATCCTGGTTCGCTGGCTTGTAGACAGTTTAGTTCCTTAATACAGCATTTTATAAAGTCTTATAGCAATACATTTGTCATGCCTGCTATCCCCCAAACCTAGAAAGTAGTCAAGTTCACAGAATAAAAGAAAACACTCGGAGAGGCTCCTGAACATGTACCAAACCTAACGCGCAGGAAGACAGTCCTTTGAAAACAGCACTGACCGCTATTACCTTTAGCGCCACTAAGCTTAATGCAGCTCTCAGAAACCTAAATTTGGGTTCATCCGATAGCTGAATTGGAGCACTAACACTTCAACTCAAGTTTTCAAAGACCAAGAGTCTGGCAAAAAAGTCTTTTGAACAAAAGCAAACTAAAATGATTTCCCAGTCATTGAGTTTGAGTTTCAGAATTTATAATTAAGCTTCTCTCCAGAGCCACAAGGGCTAGATTTTCTTTCTAAACCATATTGAACATTTTCTAGTAGTAACACATACTGCTAGGACCTGCGATTTTCCAAAGAAATCGAAAACATATGTTACAACAGCAAGAGGAAAAAAAATGAGTTGCCAACACATGGGAAAGATCCATGCACTGATTAACGCAGAATGTAAACAGCAAAAAAGAACTGGGGAAAAAAACCAGTGAGTAGATGTTTACTATGTGATTTCTAAAAAGTTTTATTATAATGCTTGCATTCTCACTAGCTGAAACGTAAGGAAAAGAAATGGAAATCCATCCTTTGCTGCAGAAGTCTTCTCTGTGTCCGTATCCTTTGAATATACTAAGGTTAGAAGACAGAGTTCAAACACTTCCCACATGACTGATCCCACTTTCCCCTTTCTCATGCATCTCAAATATACGAATTTGCCTCATTCAGACTGAGCATTGACACCTGCTACAGAGCAGGCACATACACACAAAATATTCTCTGTGCAAGCATGCCAAATGTGTTGTTTTGTGGGTGAGCTGGCACAAGAAAGTGCTGAGGGGACAAACGCTGAAAATACTGGATATTGTCAAACTCTAACCTAACTTGAACTCTAGCTTCACCTCTTCAGGTAAAGTGACCAGGAGCAAGATCACGACCCTGCCACTTACCTTGGCCTAGCACTTCTCATTAGATCCCTACACAAGCTACTTCAAATCACTAGCCTGAGAAAAATAATGTAAATTTGGGGTTTTTTTTGCTTGTCAGCAGATGTATGGGCTCAGCAAGGGCTCCAATGAGCATCAAAAGCAGTACATGCAGCTGGAAGAGGGGAAAAGAGGCAGAAACTTCCCTCTTCAGATGTGGTAAGTGGTTAGATTAGCTCAGTTGTCTGGGGTATCTCCACCCTTATAAAGACTCCACCAAATCCCAAGGATAACACATGGAAATAGTGAGTTGTGCCACCCATGCTACTCTATAAAGATAGTACTTAATCACTTCATACGCTCTAAGCAACTGCTGTGAGTTGCATGCAGGTCCTCAGAACCTCTCTAGTTCAAGCTGCAAGTGGGACGTGGGCAGACTGAGCAACCTAGTTTTTCAATAGAACTGGATGAATTTAGTGTGTCAACAAAATGCTAAATGAGGAGTTAAACAGTACTGAGCAAAATTAGGCTATGCAATGAAGTGTAAAATACTTCCACCATGGAAACTCCTAACAGATAAAAGTAATGAGGCTGTTAATCAGATCTACTTACATTATTAGCAAAAATTCGAAGATCGAGGGCTACAGCATACATAATAGGTAAAGCCCTGGAAAAGTAAAACATAGTACACTTAGTATATGCAAATCATGCAATAAGTAAGAGATAAGAAACAAGCATTTTTTTTTGCCAGCTGGTCATAAAGCTAGAAAAGTATACATTAATCTTTAAATAAAGAAGGATGCACCTTTTAAAAGAAAAGGTCTTCAAGATCTCGGCATTTCAGAAATCCTACACTGGACGAAGAATTAATTCACAAACATTTTTTACGGTGGCTTTAATAAAATACCATCTCACCTTGAACAAATTCTTCACGTGTTTACTTATGGACCATTCTACATAATTAAGCTTAGATGTATAGTTTTCACACTTTTGGATCTAAAAACTCAAACAGGCAGCAAAAACAATCAGGTTGCATTTAAGTATCACTGGGGATAAATAAAAACTATAGGCATAATTTTAGTTTGACTGCTATGGTATTATGACAGTGAAAGATGAGAATCTTTTTTAGCAGCTCGCTCTGATGTACTCACCAGTTTTCCTCTTTATGTGCCTGAAACGCTCGCAGGAAAGATGTATTGGATTCAGGAGAATTTAAAATGCTATTAAATGACAGCAGTTGTATGGTACCACATATCACTACGTGAAAGGGCAGAAACCAACAAAGCAGCGAGTAGATGAGGAGTCAGGATGCAAAGATGCAATAGGGAAGAACGTGAGTGCAGCCACGCCCTCCTTGGTGAGGCAGCAGCCGTGAGAAACACTGCGCGCTTACGGGTAAGATAGCAGCTTGCTTTATCACTATCTCCCCCTCCGGCCAAGTACAAACTGGGATGTATATTAACGATTTGAGGGTCTCCTATACTCTGTGAGAAATTCATTTTCCATTTTAGAGCCAAGTGACAGATTCCTTCTTAGACCTACAGAAAGCTGAAAGAAGAGTGTATCTGGATTTCCTTGCTTAAGAACCTAAATAGCTGAAGTGTATATGGAAGCAGACCACATTCTAGTAGATTTTAAAAGGGATAAAGATAACTTATTCTACAAGAAGACATACAGTTAATCCGAAAACAATATACAAGATTTATGGAAAAGGATATTGGACGATAACTGTTTGGCATTTGTATGCTTCTATGAAGTCATGGTTTCCCACAGCGTAAGTACACCTGTCAAAGAAAAAGTGCATTAGTGCATCAGAAAATATATACGCGATACAAATATTTCTTTTTGCCTTTTAATAGGCATACAGCTTTACAGTTTGAGAGACACAGAAATACGATTAGAAATGTTCCTAACAAAATGGCACCAGTATTTTAATACAGCACTAATCCCGATAATTGTAGAAAACTGATCTGAGAGAAGAACGAGGATTTGTTTCTATAATATGTACAGTATCAACTGTAATATGCTAATCCTTATTGAAACTGTCACCAAGATTAGCATAGATAAAAAAAAAAAAATCCAAGACTGTTGAAAGTGAACTAAAGACTGTGTTAATGCAGAAATTTTTTTTTTAATAAAAGCCTCACAGAATTACTTAGGTCTTAAAGCTGTCTTAAGAGTACTTTCATGAGTAAAATTCCCTTTTAAAAATAATTATTTCCCTTACTTATTTCACTCTAAATTCTTGTGCAGCTAGTAAATGCAGAGCAAAGGCAACAGCAAGCACCGAAACCCAAGTTGCGTCAATGGCTATACACAGATGACTGCCAGGTACATAAAGCAAACTTTACGTGGAAAAGAAAGAGAAGGTCTTTATTTCCTGCAGTTCTAGCATTATTTATAAGAGTAATAAATAGCAAGTTTTCAGAGGTAAGCCCTTTAAAATAACTAAGTAATGTTAAGGATATCCTTCCCCATCCCTGCTGGATGCCTCAGAACTGACTTTACATTCCTGGTCCACCTTTACCTTAAGTGGGCTGCAAACATTTCGTCATATGGGGGTTCCAAAACTTGCTGACACTTCTCCTCTGGAGATGGAAGCTAAGTATAGAATAGATCAATGCAACATTAAAGGAACACCCAATGCACAAGGAACACCCAATGCACCAGAAACAGAACATCATATGGATATTTTATCCTGGCAGTTTTATGCATACATGCCTTCGCTATCAGAACCTTAAGCTATAATAATAATCACATCCAGTGTAATGAATTGCTAGTGTGCATTCTGTCTCCAGAACCTGATCAGAGCTAGCCTTAAATAAAAGCATCTGAAACGTATACAGCACAAACACTGGACCCTTGCTACGCACTGGTTTTCTCTTCATAGTCACTTCCACTGTGCCACGCTACTAACTAATGTAGACCTGGCCAGAAGGGACTTTCAAGACTGTATCTACCCAGAAAACAACTCAAAGTGGAACACAAAAAGCCATCCAGGAAAAAAATGGAGATATATAATATCCTTCTAAGAAGGAAAGCGAAACAAACCTACAAGGGGATCCTGCTCTGGCCTGTGAAACAGATTTCTGAGGTTTATTGCCAATGGACAGGAACCCATATAGAGAGCTGGGAAAACTGAAAGCAAAACAAAAGAAAGGTCAAAAACAGTTTCTCACCTGTAGCCTTGGATTTGCAACATGTGGATGTTTAAATGATACCAATTCTGCACAAAATTGTCCATCTCTGCTATCAATGGCTTCTTGTACCTATCAAAGAAAACAGCCACATTACAGAATAAAACCCAGGCACAACCATGCAACATATTTACCACATGACTACAAAAGCCACCTTCTTGTTACCACTGTTCATCCACATCAATACCAACCCAAATGTGAGTTTTTAAAACTGAACAAATCAATATTGTACTTTCAATACACACGTTTTTCAAAAAGGTATCAGGGAGAAGGTGGGGCAGGGGTTTTTTTTGTGGTTTTTTCCTTATTTGTAGGATCTGAGCAAACCAGAGAATCTCCAAACAACTTACATGGGTTTAGCATTGTAAAACGGCAGTTGTGAACCAGATTTGATTAAGCTTAAAATTCCAGTCGGACTTACGGGCATCAAACATATATGTGAAGGCATAAACAGTCTTTGAGTATTATTGTTTGCAATACTGCAGATGGAATTTGCATGTCATGAATCAGGACTCGCAAATATATTTCATATGAATTTAACATTTAATGAGAAAAACTACTTCCAAAACACAAAATTAGCTCTCCTTTACTTCGGAAAAAATCACCAATCTCTTAAAGAGTTTAAGCAGTTGATTTTCCCTCTTTTGCTGCTTCCCTTGTTATTTTAGTCTACGATTTTTCCCATTTGGTATGGGCTTTCCATACAGCAAAAATTTTTTTTTCCCTATCAGAACACAAAAATATGACAAATAAAGCATAAGCAGTGGGAAGGGAACTCTTAAGAAGTAATATCTAAAACTACTTCTAAAACTGAAGAAATTTCCAGCTTAATGTCACAATATGCTGCTCAGACAGACAATTTTTTACAAGGCAGCCTTTAGCAGGCAGCAGAATTAAACTGTTCTCCCACAGAATATAGCATTTACAGCCTTGACAGGTTTCAAAAGTATTCGATACAGATGCTAGTCTAGTATCAGACATTGCTTTTGGAATGATAGCTACATGTTTAATCTACCTGTCTTTGTTTTTAAGCATTACGCATCCTGCTCTCTGTCACTTCCTTACCCATTGCTTTGGATTTCCATCTTCACCTAGTGAGTGTCCATTCCATCAGTAAAGTGTCCGAGTTTGACATAGAGCAAAATGGTTTTTTTGTAAGAGATAAGGTATTGGTGAGGGGTGTGCATAAACTTAAGAAAATGCAGACAGTTTAAATGCACAGACACAGTGTATACGATATGGAAGGTGGCGACAGGGGATCACGAGGACTGCCAACTGGAGAAGATGCTGACTTTTCAGAGCAGATCACTGTCCTGAGACATCCCAGCCACTCCATTTTTGAGACTAAAAGACAAACAATTACTCTCTTTTTGTGCCCTTCACTCGACTGATTTGACTGAAGCAAGTAAGATGATAACAATGATGAAAATACTATGTTTCAGAAAGAAGTGGTAAAAGTAGTCACACTAAAAGCTTGACACTGAAAGTTCAGTCCAGCTGGTATCCCTGTGACCCTGCTCCTGTGTCTCCATCCTCCATGCCATACACACCATGTCTCTGCATTTCTATACTTCTTAAATTCCTATATTTCTTGAATCCCCAAGCTGCATGTGTTAATGCATGCACACACAATCCCACCACGCTAGTTCTTATGAATAAATTACTTTGCTATCCATTATCAACAACCATCATACTTTTCAGAAATTCCAGGTATACATCCTTGGCACACAGCCGGTATACTTAGTACAGACTTAAGAAGTGTATTTCTTTACCACATCACACATTCTAGGTCGATTCATTTCTTAGACAAGGTAACATATTTCCAGAAAAAAAAAACCAAAAACAACCCACATCCACATATTCTAACAGTGCTCACAGATTAAAAAAAAAACCCTTGCTTACTTGCTGCAAATACTGATTTATGGTGATGTGCGCCATTAAAACAGAAGAGGCAGGTGTCCCAAGTAAAAGGCAGTTGTATCACATCCTGCAAAACGAACAGGAGTTTAAGAGAGCAGCAAAGCGACAGCATCTCACACAGACCCGCTCTTCGCCCCGAGGAAACACGGGCCGACTTCATCATGCCTCCCGCGGGCGGGCGGGCGGGAGGGAAGGGAGAGCAGGGCAGGCCGCAGCGGAGCACAAACACACGCTGCCTGCTGGGGGAAGCTCCGTGCGGAGGAGAAAACCCGGCGCAAAGGCCCCGAGGAGGG